CATCTCCGAGATAATATAAAATTGGCTCATTCTTCGTTACAACAATTTTTCGAATTTTATGTAAAGAAGGTGAAAACATCGGGTCTGTGGCCCTTCTCTGATTCTCTATACCACCCTTCCACTCTGCATTAGCAAGTAGATAACGAACACTATCCCCCTTTTTTAACTTATTTTTCTCATCCTTTCCAACAGGATGCTTATACTTTGTAGATAGCCTAGATTCTACTCATTCCAGTTTGATAGCTTTTGCTAGAGCTAAACTCCATTTTGATGAACCGGGAGCTCGAATGAGATGTGTCGGATAATTATTAAGATAATCTATTATTTTGGATAAATGTTTAACCCATGCTCTTATTAATTTAGGGTCCGAGGATATACTTTCAATGCTATATTGAATCTTATATAGCATTTCAGCTAGAGTTTTATTAAATCTCTCCACAATTGCTGTACTATGATGGGAATATAGACCAATAACTTGAATTACTATACCATGTTCCTCCATTATTCTACTAGTCTTGCTTATCCATTCCTGACCATTATCTGTTTGTAATAATCGAGGCTAGGTTAATAGATAATTATGGCTATTATATATTTTCTTAAACGCTTTAGTAACTTCTGAACTTTTCTTCGACATGAGAGGAACCGAGGCCTTATATCTTGACGCACAATCCACTATATTTAATACTGCTTTGTATGTTTTTTCTTTATATTTGTCATGTGTGAGAAACAGTATATCAGCCTGGTGTACACAATTAGGACGTGATATTCAACCATAGCTGGCTCTAGTAATATGTTTTGGAGAAGGCTTATAAATTTGGTACTGTTGTTGACACTCCAACCACTCATGAATTTTTTTATATAGGAAATGATAGCCTTCATCCTTGATAGCTTTATATAATTTTTGAGCATTAGAATAGTAACCGGTGGGGTTATAATAAATTAACTGGCAAACAAGATCTACTTTCTCATCAGGATCTATAGTAATACTAGGTTGGTTCATTTTTAATACATTTTACTATATCAATAAATTATTATTTGACAAAGTTTCCAGAAGCATCGATATATTATAGGCTTGTACAATGCCATCAGATACAATAGTGTCTCCACCTAGTGAAAC